ATTAAAGAACTAACTAAAGACCTCCAACTTACCCAAAAAATAAAGTTGTATTTACTTTGAGGTTAAAACACACCTTATCAAATGTTACCTGAATTTCAGAAGAATAATTTTAAAAGTCTGATAATCTTAATAACCAAGCGAAAGCCTGAAAAATTCTGACCTGTCACTTCAGACAACACAGATATTGTAAGATTTCATTCCTCAGATGATCTTACTTACATTGAATCGCACCTTTGAAGAACCTATATCAACCTAAATAAGTAAATGAAGGTACTAAGCTAGAAAACTATTGTAGCTACTCTTTCAGAATGCTTTCATTGTATGGGCTTCAGGAATAGGTAAAGAGATAATAATGGAGATCCCATACTCTCAGAATAAGGACTTCCAAGAAAGCATTCCTGAAGCATTGAATCACAAAACGCAATCCACTGGATAATTTCAATGTTTCTTTAAAGACTCTTAAAAGAAAAAATAAATAACTGTCACTTTTCACATGTAGTATGTATGCCATAAAACTACTTAGGCAAAGAATTTTACTGAAGTCTGCTTTACAACATCCCTATGGGGGGATGGAAAGGAAGAATTGGCTGCCATAAAGAAAAAAAAACCCAAACATAGATTTAATGGTATGATTTGACAAAATCAATCATCTCAGAATTTGGTTCCCCTTAAGAAGTCTATGAATCTCAATTACTTCTTGCATGGACTACTAATACTGAGTTAGGTGTAATTTCATTTTTAATGTATCAGAGTTGAAGGAAAAAATATTTTGCTATTGTTTCACTAGAAGAACACCACCCATGCTATATAATATTTGAAGCTGTACCTTTTAAAGGGTACATTAACCTTACTTTACTTCTGAACTGTAATCCCATCAGATATCAGATTCACTCCTTGGCAGCTATTTTAGTCTTTTTGATAATGACTAGATTATGTATTTTGTAAAGGGGGATAGGGGAGGGGGGAGGATGGAGGGGGAAAGGAGATATTTTTAATTTCACAGCCAAAGCTTGTGAACTTCTTTTCTGGTTTAATCCTGCTCATTAAAAACATGTTCCTGAAAATGCATGTTGTTTAATCACACGGTTTGATCTTCACAGTCTTTCTCTTGCTCAGCTTCAAATGTCTTTCAACATCAACATACCATTAAAGAAGTATTCCATAGTGGAAAGGGCTTATGAAAACCACAGCCCAGATCAAATTTAAATTTCAAAATTTATCAGAAAATAGTCACATCAAATCCATAGGGCTACTCTGGATCTAGTAATAGTTTATAAAAAGCTATTTCAAAATCCACTTGCAGACACGATTGAATTGTTATAAGTTATCACATATGCTGACTTTGCAAACAAAACAAAAGCTTTTGCAGGGTGCAGGGGTTGAGAGGAGGTGGAAGGAATGGAACAAAAGTACCAAATTCCATGGAAAAACTGCATCAAAGTAAAATACTCTGAATGACTAAGTCATCACATGAACATATCAAGAGTAGTTGAGACACTGTTTGATCTTCGATTGCTTTATAAAAATCTAAACAAGTGAACTTAAAAGATCACTCTTAAAGACTACCAGAAAGACAGTACAGTACTCAAGCACTGCTCTCAATCCCTACTCGTTCACCATAAATTTGTTTTCAAGGACTATGATCCTTGAGTGCAGCAGCTTCACACGAGACTACGATCTGTCTACCGAGACCATGGACTGGAGTTCCCACAGCAGTATGGGCATCAAAACATGATCCAAGATCAGAATCAAAAGACTTAGTTATCTGTCTTGTTGCAGCTACACAATGTCCACACAGGCCAGCAGAAAATTATCAGGACCATTGCGTATTTGTCTCAATATATATTAGCCTAGATCATGGCAAAAAGTCCAGCAGCACACTTAAAGGTAGAAGGAATAGAAGGTTTTCAAGGCTTAGAAAAGTATTATGAAAGTATTCATAAACAACATACTCTATCTTTCGTGTAAGCAAGATTAAAAAAAAAAAAAAAAAAAGTAAATGTGACAGAGGAACTGTTTGTCTGCTTTAACTAGAACAGCACTTATATTTGTGGCCTTTTTGCCCAAGATAAAGGGGTATTAGGTCTAGGCAAGTGATAAGTATTGACACCACTTCTGTTCTTGCAATTTTTTATAAAATGTCCAGAGTCTTTTAAGCAGCATTAAGCCACATAGAATACCACATGAATTTTCCCATATTATAAAGATAGCTTTCTTTTTGTTATCTGAGGTGTGAAGACCTTATTCAGTTACGGATGTAAGCATAAATTGAGTAGGAATAGTCCACAAATACTATTAAGTCTCAGTCTAGTTTCTCTTCAAAGCTGAATAGAGGACAGTTAACCAGGAAGCAACATAGTAATTTTTTGCTGATGCAAGCAGGCTGTGTCATCTCAGAATATGCTGATACAACACTGCATAAAAAAACCATTATGCCACAATTATGACTGTCATCACCCAGTACTCCCAGTAAGAAAGACACCAGGCCAGTGTAGTGCCACTACATTTATCTGCCAGTTTTATACTTCTGAAACCAAGAAGACACAGCTACAGTAATACGAGTATCTGAATGATAATGTATACTTCATTTTGCCCAAATATGGATGACCTTTAAGCACAATGCTTCTTGTAAGTATCTTCTAGAGACCCGTATCCCAGCCTTCAACGTTTTGGGATCATGTTTTATTCCATGAGCTTGCCTGCTGTCTGACTGCAGGCCTTAGTGGAGCAGCCAACTAAGCAAGCAAAGTTATTTGCTCACAGAGACATAAGACTCAGGCCAAAAACAACATGGTACAACCCACACTAAAATAAAATAAGGCTGTTTAAAATGCATTTCAGTCCAGCTTTACTGGATTCTAATTTCCAGGAGCTTCCATCTAAATGTAATCTTTGCACAGTTTCATCAGCAGTAGTTTCAACAGTGGCAAAAATGTTATCTTTGGATAGCCACACCCGTTGTCAAACTAAGCTCTCTTTTGCCCCATGTACTAGTAAACATAACGCTTCAATCCCCATTGAATAACTATGAACAGCGTAGGAAGCTCATTTCCATGACCCACGACCACAGAAAAGCATGAACTTCCAACAGTAGGGTATGGTTCAGTGGGTATCTCAGCTTCTGTCTGTGGTGTAAAGCACAGTGCTTGTCTTCCCTAGTCAAGAGCCTTATAGGACAGACAGCCAAGAGAGTCCTCTTAAGAAAGAAAGTAAAGAAAACTTAACCAGTTACACTCAAGATAGATTCCATCACATCTCCCCTGCAGTTCCAAAGAGGATGCAAGAGTATTTTAACTACTTAATAGCGGTTCTAAAGGTCCCTTTCTTTACCTTGCTTGAGCAGGAATAATGACAGAAAGCTCTTGGTCATTGGATTCATAGCAAATCCAGCTAAGAACTCCCCACCATCCTTCATTAGTCCTACATAGCAAAGTAACAGGATATTTAGAAGTTGGTAAATACTACGAAAAAACACCAATACTGGACTCACTATGACACAGAATCACAAAATGGTTGAGGTTAGAAGGGACCTTTGGAGGTCATACAGTCAGCCCCTGCTTGAGCAGGGACATCTACAGCAGGTTAATCAGGACCATGCCCCCACCTGTTCTGAAGATTTCCTGATCTTGAAACACAAAGTTGAAGAACAGCTGTATTAGACAAGAGTATGACTCTGAAAATTCAGTCACTGATGAAGGAGAAAATCTTCCCTGAAGCAAGAGTTACTTCTCTGCAGCCTCATAAAAGACCTACATGACGTACCTGTGAGAGATATCGGTGCAGTCTGACCACAAACACCTTTTTTTTTCTCCTGTTAATAGTGTAAATCACACTAGCAATTGAAGTATGATACCATATTTATCAATATTAAAGTACTGGATATTCTCTATCTATACTATCATCTCGCTCAGTAACTTCTTATCTCGGTTGATTCAGGTCTTGAAAATACTCTCTCAGATTTCAAAGATTTCCCCAAGACCTTAAACATTATTAGGAAACTTCCTACACAGAAGACCCAAAACCACTGTGATATATCCCAGTCTTCAAATACAAAAACATATTATACTCTGCTATCCTTCCATCCTTCCTAGATACGCAGACAACACAAACAAAACACTACTTCAAATAGAAGATAAAGAATCTTCTGATGCTTTCAATGTTACAGGGCCACTTGTAAGTAAGATCTAATTCAAACTGAAAAAAAGGAAGCATTCTAAAGCCAAGAGGTGAAACAACAGAAATCAGAATAAGTATTAGTAGCAAGACACTGAGGAAAAAATAAAATCCCAAATAATCCAACATATTTATGACAAACATACAAGAACCAGATGTGCCAAAATAGATCCTGAAGTAAATCTCTTTCACTGGCAAAGATCTCACAAATCAGGCACCGTAGAACACTGAAATAAAAATCTTCTACGTTCTGCTCATTACTAAGGAATTGCCTGAATTGAATCATTTGTAGAGGCTACAGAGTACAGTACACAGCATGTACTAGGGTACATAAGAATAAACCAATGGTAAACTGTGATTTCTCTCTGATTCTCTCTGAACGATTCTGGTATGTGACCAGTAAAAAGTTCACCAGGCTGATTACTGGTGCAATTATGATTGTAACTGAATTTATCGGAATATTTAATAACATCTTCAGTCACATTTCATCACTATGAACCAAATTTATTTCAGTTTCACAGCAGTCTCAGAGAAGTACTTAGTACTGAGAAGTAGCTCCTGTAGAACTGTGAAAATTTCATAGGATACTTAGAGCAGAACCTCTGCTAAGACTTTGAAACTGCATGCACCAATAAATTTTCAAATGCATTACCACAAATCTTCCCAAGAAGATAAATGAGTTCTCAACAACTACAGAGATCAACAAATCAACAAAATGACTGTGGGATTCAGCTTCCTAGGTCTTTAAAGGTAAAGGAAAAAAAATAATCAAACAAACAAGTGAAAAACAGAAGTGTAACTAAAGAGTTCATATCTCAAAAACTCACCTTCAGACTTCAACTTCGTAAGAACAAAAATCAGGTAGTTGTTGAAATCTGGATATTGATTGAGTTGTTCTAGTTTCTGAAGTGAGAAACTGTTAAGGAGAAGTCAAATCTTAAACATACAGCATTTTGCCTTCTGGATGAAATTATTATTAAATTTCCAAACGCTTCAAACAATTGTACAATTGTAAAAGCTTAAAATACTCAGAGTAAATACAAACTGAAAACCGAGTCTGCAGTCCTTGTTCTTTAGGGAATACCTTTTAGTTGTGAAATACAGAAAAAAAAATTATCCAAAGACAGAAAGAGAAATTAATAGAATCCTTAAACTGCTTTTAAAAACACTAAAAATGCTGCTTTTGTACAGTTTTTAATTTCAATGTTTACACTCAGAAGCTGAGACAGAATCTCACAATATGTCTATTTTTTTCCCTGTCATAAATAAAAGCCCTCCAGCATTCAAGTACAACAGCAATTTATGATTTTGATAGTAAGAATTAGTATAATTGTAAGTGAGCAGATAATTTGCATCAGAAACTTATCTACTGTTTCTTAAAACAAGTAATACAGAACATTTCCTCTGCATACATATCCATTTTCTAGAACGCTGGCTCTCTGAACGAGCTTCTTACTAACATTTACTATATCATCTGCGGCTGTTTGGCTAGAAGAGCCATCTGGCATTCTCTTTATAACCTGTTCTCGTACGCTGGTATTAACTGGTATTTTGAGTCATAAGCATGCAGCATCATCTTCAAGTCATACTGATGATATCTAGAAGGGTTAAATAAGACATTTAGCAAAAAAACTTTTTTCAAAGAAGAGTACTTACTTCACATGCATTGACTTTGCTAGCTGTTTAGCTGAATTGCTAAGCATTAAAAGTAAAACCTTAACCACATGCATTCACTGGGATATAATGGCCCATTAAGTTCCCTCCAGTTCTAAAGAATCTACTTCCTTCCAATGATCAACGAGTTCACCTAGTCCAAATCACAAACTTAACTTCATTTTTAGATATTTAGGCTGCTTACATCAAGCAATGGCCAGAGAAGCCTGTCTGACTTAAGAGTAAAGCACACCTACCATAGATAGCCAGTATAAAACACACACCCAAAGACTGCTTTATAGCTTCCATGCCAAAAAGCTCCTTAAGAAGCAAAAAAGTAGGGTATCATATCCTGTAATTTTTTTCACTTCTAGTCCAAGCTTCAGAAACATCACCACCAAAACAGTATGTCAAACAATACCAACAGCAATGAATTGCAGCAGCTCAAAAACAAAGCAGCAGCAAACACAGCAAGAACTAGGAGTATTAAATAGGAATTTAATCAGTCAGTGAACCAAGAAAGAGCTAATAGGCCCTATTTTCCTCAACAACTTCTTCACCACAGTTTTCCTTTTTTCCCCTCCAAAAAGCAATTAATTTCTTCATCTCAAAAACATCTGAAAGCCTTCCTGATTCATAACTTTATTAACAAAGGATGTTGGTTAACCTATGTTCAACACTTCATTACAATTAAGTTCTAATCATATAAATGTGTCAAAACTGTGTCATAAAGTACAAGACAGCACACTGCTGATAATCTTATATCAATGACTGAAAGTGCTTTAAATTTGAAACTTCTGATCCACCATCATACTTGTACATGCTGCTAAGCAGCATCCTACAATAGAAGAAACCATCCCAGAGGTTTGTGAAAACAGTTTCAAAGGAGATTTACTTAAAGTTACAGTTTGCCGTCTGTGAATAAGACATCAAAATTTTTCCTAAATGGCTGTATAACACGATGAGATAGTGTACCACTTCTCTAACTTTTACAGGCCAGCATAGGAGGAACTTTCTGAAATCACAGGTATCTGACCAGAGCAGGGAGTTTCTGCTGTCATTTCAAACATCAGATAAAAGCATTTTTACTTAATTTCTGCTCATCATTCAAACAGACAACATCCATTGTGTTGCCCATCCTACACCTACCCTGCTATTTTTCAAAAAACAAAGCAGAAGTTATTATTATCCTTTTCCTTTTTTTTTGAAGCAGAGCTTTAAAGAATTATTCTGCACTAAACTACTGTTGCTATAAAGAATTTTATATCTGAAATAAGAATGTCTGTTTAACTTTGACTCGTTATTTAACCACACTGTGCAGGATTTTCCAAAGGCAGCAAAAGCATCTCAAAAATCTACAACACAGCTCAAAGAGCATGATGATCAAGATAAAAAAATAGCTTCATTTTTTTAAACCATAACTGAAGCTGTGCCACGTTTGACTGCATCTGTTAGCAAAGCCTACAGGTTGAGTAAATTTGGCCTCAGGATAGACTCATTTTTAAAAATAACCTTATATACATTTCTTCTTACCTACATTAACGAATTTTGATGCTGTCTGCAAAGACCTTGAAGCACATGCCTTAAGCAAAAAGTGATCACAATAACTAACTCATATCCTTCAGAGAATGCCAGGAGGACTCCCTGGTTTTCCAAAGCACTTACACAACCAACTCAGGAAACAGGAAACAACAGATATTTTTCAAGAGCTACGTTTCTATTAGTCTTAACCTAAATTTTCTTCTGTCTTCGTTCCTTAAAACCGTGCCATTTCACCATTTCTAGGGACTTGACGGGCAAAAAAAGAATCAGAAACAAACCGCAAACAACTAACACAAAACGCGCTGCAGATCGGCCCAAGAAGACGCAGACAGCCAATCGCCCCTTCTCGCCAATTTCACAGTCTGACGCCGCCGGCCCAAGCTCCCGACAGGCAGGAACGTCCCCACCCGCAGCAAAGTGCGTAGCGTCAGAGGCGGCAGGCCGCCCAGAGCACGCCGCCGACGGTTCCAGCGGGGCTCTCCCGGCCCCAGCGCCGGCTTTCGCCGCGAGCCCCGGCGGGGGATGGGCTCGCGAGGCCCCGCCGCGCCCCGGAGCCGGCGGGCAGCCCTACGCGGGAGGCTCTCGGCGGGATGCGCCGCAGCGAGGGCCGCGCGCCCGCCTCGGCGCGGCCCGGCGCTGGCAGCGGCCCAGCGCGGGGTAACCCAGTAAAGCGGCGGACGCCGAAGCGGCCGCGCCGCAGCGAGGGCTTTAAAAAGCAGAAGCGGCCCTTGGCTTCGGGCTCGCAACAGGTGCCCGGCGGCCCTCCGGCCCCGCAGGCCGCTCCGGCGGTTCAAACGCCGCGCCACGGCCGCCCGCTCCGGCGGAGGCTCGGCCCACCGCGTCGCGGCGGACCCCGGGCGGGCCCGGCCGACGCCTCGTCCCGTCCCGTCCCTTCCGTCCCTTCCGTCCGCCCCGCGGGCCGCGCTCCCCGCCCGGCTCCCCCGGCGCCCGCCCGGGCCGCGGCTGCCGTCCCGCTCTGCCCTGCCCGGCCCCGCTCTGCCCCGCCCGCCCCGCCCGGCGCAGGCCCCGGCCAAGGATACTTGTTGCACGGCTCTCTGCGTGGTGGTGTCCGGGGACTGCGATTCCTTCAGCAGCTGCAGGATCTGCTGGAGCCCCTGCTCGTCGGGCTTCCATTCGTACTCCATCTTGGCTGCCTGGAAAACAGCAGACAACAGGCGGCCGCGGTGAGCGGCGCAGCGGGGCCTGGCCGCGGGAGGAGGGAGGGAGGGAAGGGGAACGGATGGGAAGAGAGGGGAGGGAAAGGGAAGGGAAGGAAGGGTGGGCGGGAGGACGGACGGACAGACGGACAGGCAGACGAGAACGGAGGGAGGGCGCCGTGCGGAGCGCCAACCGCCCCCGCGGCCGCCAACCGCCCCGCCAGCCCCGAGCCCCAGCGCGGCCCCGCACCGGGCGGGCAGACGGCACCGACCTGCTCCCTTCGCCACCCGCCGACAGACTGAGTCACGACCAATTTGTAATCTTGCCAGAGCCTCCGCGCGTCTTCTGGGTCCTAGTGCCGGGCTCGCCTCCGCCCGCCCGGGCTGCCTCGGGCCCGCCGGCGCCGCCGTCAGCCTTCCCCCTGTGCGTCCCACGCCGCCAGGAGCCTGCGACAAAACACGGCCCGCCTCAGTCCCGGCCGGCACCGCGTCGGGGCCCCAAGCCCGGCACGGGGGGCAGGGAGGAGGGCGGGAGGAGGGAGGGCGGGAGGGAGGGGGAGCCCCGGCAGCCTCGTGGCGCGCGGGGTAGCGGCGCCCGGCCCCCCGGGACAGCTGCGGCTGGCGGCGGGCCGGGAGGCGGCCGCCCACGGAGGAAGGAGAAGCGAGGCGAGTAAGCGGAGCCGGCAGCGAGGGACGGGGTACCTGCCCGCCATCTGCTTTCTGCTACGTGACTTGGTTTCGCGCCGGCTACGTTCGCAGTTCGACGTGCGAAGGGGGCGTAGGGCCAACGAGGCGGGAAGGGGGGAGGGAGACACGAAACAAACCCCCTTGAATACAAAGTATATCTTATCTTTAGCCTCAAAATGTATCAGCGGAGATCTGAGGTCAAAATTAGCACTTTATATATGTATTAACATCATGCATACGTACATATCGCTATTTATATCGGTTATATATATGCTAATGGCCAAAATACAAACACACACGACTTGAATGTGGTCTAAAATATGAAAACGAGAAACAATTCCTCAGCTTGTACAATCTTATTTTCAGACATCGTGTTTGTAAGCATCCTGCTTGTCTAACGGAAAACTAGAAACGGAAACTCACTTAGCACAACACTGGGTATGAGTGCTGCAGGCACACAGCGCAGTGGTAACTGCCCAGAAGCACAGAGGACGGAATATTTCTGAGTGCTGCATATCCCAGGTAATTTGCTGCAAGACTCCTTGTCTTGCCGTCCCAAAGCTTTCATTAAAACAGTATTTAAATTATAATCAGCTGTCCGGTCTCGGGTGCTGTGTCTTGGACTAACTTTCCTCCTATTACAGTCAGCCACCACCCTTGCAGTAGCCTAAACTAGCACCCGCAGCACAGTCTCTATCAAAATAGCAAAGCAGGCTGTCGTAAGTGTACTTACAGCATCTATGTATCTGGATAATGAGGACAGTACTCAATCAATCATGAATGCATGCACACCAGAATAAGAATCAGGAAAAGCTAAACAGCAGAAAAATATGCTGCATAGCATGCAAGAGAACAAAGCCATTGCAAAGCGCATAAATATATTTTAAAACGACAGCAACAAAGACAGAAACCCAACGTGTTTCTAAGTATCTTCTGCTTAAGAAATTGCCACAGTTACCACAAGGCTGTTAGGGAGAACAACTGCTAAAGCAGTGCACCTCTTGGGAGCTTATCAGACACAGATGCCTACAAGTTAGAGTTACTAAAATGGGAGAGTAAAGGCTTGCCATCAGTTACTAGGAAAAGATAGGCATGACAGTTTATTGGAGATTTTTGTCATCTATGAGAATTTCCACTAGTTTCCTGCTGGCACAGAAAAGTCTCAAGCAAAGATTCAGGCTGTTAAAAACTATGCTTGTAGTTCACAACATATGTGCAGCTTATAGTGATGCTTACACAGCTGAAGCAAACAAAAGGTGAGGTCCAACAAAATGCTCATTTCAGTCTCATTCCCCAAACTGCTGCCTTACTAGGAAGGTTTCAGAATCTTGATTATCTTTGAAACAATTGGCTCACTGTCAAATTTGGGTGAAATTGATTACAGCTTCAAAAGTTGCTGTTCAGAATGTATGACACAAGGATTACATCTTTCTAATTTGATCAGGAAACCCAAATGCACTAGACAAAAATCAGATTAAACATAAGAAACATGGGAAGAGACTAGAAAGGAAGGCTGAGAGACAGAACAGGAAAAACCAAGAAGAGAAGCAGGCTGTCAGTCTGTAACTAAGAAAAACTGACATAGAAACATGACCAGAATTAATTCCATGTCTTTCTGCTGTAGAAAGGAGAGAAAAAAAGCCTAAAAATCAAACTAGAAATGGGAGCTGCTGCAATTAGGGGGGACGTCTGAAAGCTTTTTATGTTTGCCCTCAAGGGTAGGTTCCTCCTTAAGAATCATAGAGGATCTTTTGCCTCTGGGAACTATTCAGTCAATATAGGTATCAAAGCAAGGACCTGCTGGATACTTTCTTTCCTTGATCATCACCATGAAGTTATTCTTACCCTTTTCTAATCCTTACAGTTCTGTGAGGAAGCAGGCAAGAAGAAAATAATTTAACTGAATGAAGAAAAAAACACCGAGTGAAAGCAAAGAATATTTTTGAAAAAGTGAGAAAATTGCTTCTTTCCATATAATTTTTCTTTTTTGTTTCCCAGGACCTGCTTCCTTCTCTCACATACAGAGAAATTCAGAATCAGTGTTAAAACGTAATCACAGGAATGAAAGTTACCCATCAAAACATATGATGACCTACTTCATCCCACTCAATCAGCAGAAAGCACCAGAAATAAACTTAAAACACCACATCTACATGCATTAACAAGACAGAAGCTCACCAAAGATAGGAGATTGGCCTAAACACTGAAGCGAAAATTTGATTTCTATGTTATCCAAACTTCGGATGCACTCTAGACAGAATCCAGTAGTATCAAAACAAATTGTATTATTAAAAAACATAGCCAAACAAAACAAAACAAAACAAAACAAAGCCCCAACAAAATACAACCAATGATCTTTCTTGATAATATTTACCTTGTTATACTTGAATATCTACAAAGAGTGCAGAGGTACATTTTTATTTTTCATTCTGTTGCCAAAAATACCCTCTCTGTCAGGTTTGACTATTGGGTCAGGCTAAAATAACACTTTTCAGGCACTTCTCATAAAAGGACACAGAAGCTATCTACAAGATAAGGCAGTACTGCCCTGCCTTGCAAGGAATGAGCTATCAGTCCTAGAAGATGGACAGACTTTGTCACCACCAGAGCTGTAATCTCAGACCTGAGCACTTTCACAGAATATCAAAGAACAACATGCTGCTCATTCAACAAAACACCTGCAGTACTGTTTTGAGAAAAACTCAGCTCTGCAGAAGAGCAAGGTGTGCAGGAGCACAGACAGGGCCGGAGCCTGCCCAGGGCTGCACCCACCCACGCCGGGAGCTGCGCTGTGCGTGGCCCAGGGGAGACGGTCTGTGGGGTTGGGGCTGGGCAGGGCTGGGACCAGGTGTGTGCACCGCGTCTGGCTGGGGATGGGAGCCACTGCAGGTTGCAATGGGGCTCTGCCTCTCATTTCCTGATGGAGCAGGGGTCCTGTGGTCATGGCTAAACTTCAGAAAAATTCTGAACATTTGCCTTTGGGTCTTGTTTATTCCATATTTATGGACTATCCCAAGCCAATTTTGTGACAGAATGTGGTATCCCAGGTGGGACCCTGCTGACTGGTCAGCTGTCTAGGATGAACTAGGCTGTGAACTGGGTGAATTCACCTGTTTTCTGCCTCTCACTGGAAGTGCTGAAGCCAGCCATAAAGGACTGATAGTTGTGAAAATTGTAAATCCACATAAATACTGCACAGTGGCAGTGTGTTAAAAACTGTAAGTGCCCACAAATCCCATACTTTGGAAATGAGAAAGGTGTTCCCATAGCATAAGTTTTGGAAAAATGGAATAAAGTCGGTGCGCCTTTAAGAAAAAGGCAGTGGAATCGTGTCAAGAAGTTTAGCATGCTATGACTGCATTTGATACTGCAGACAGAAAGGTGGACAGAAGTTGGCAGTTTTAGTGCCATACAGCCTAATGTTTTTGTGATCATTATTGGAAGAACAGTTCCCTGCTTATCTGGATCTTTGGGATGTTTGGACAGTTTGGGGAACAGAGCAGCTGAACAAAAAAGGTCTATTTAAGTCAAATGGAAACATGAAAATAATGTCACCTTATGTCCTTCCATCTAGGGGACTTCCACCAATTGCTGCTAAAGCTGACAGCACTCCTGCTGTGCTGCTATTGCCTCTGGATTCTTTTTTCTCCCCCTTCTGCACCCTTAGCTGCTTATCATGTTGCAGAGCTCCGTTAAGGTTTGTTAAAGGAGGTCGGCTGCCCTCTGCCCAAACCAGACCTGTGGTAGCAGTGCACAGGGTGCTTGTGCCTTTTAGTCCACTAGGCTCAGTGGTGTGACAACAGCAAATGCCACGGTTACAGGAGGACTCTGAAAAAATATTACAGATGATCAGAAGTATATTTAGAGCATATGATCTGACATGGATGGACGCTTGTCAGTTGTTAGACACTATGTTTACTACAAATGAAACAATCTTAATTTTGTAGAAGAACAGAGACCGGACTGCAGCCCGAGATGACTGAACAGTGAGGCCAGAACAAGAATCAGGTTGGAATTGAGACATGGGCAGGGGTGGATATGCTTAGAACATGCAGAAATGTGCTAGGGTCTGCAACAGAGACAGCAGGATAAAGAATGTTAAATTGGACAAAGTTAACAGATTGTCATCAAGAGCTGGAGGAACACCCCTTGGCTTTTCTAACAAGGTTGGAGAAACAGCTGCAGATGTTTGTGGGAATAGAACTTAGGCAGACAAAATACACCCTCATTGTTTGTTGATCAAGCAGCCCCGACATCAAGAAATCTTTTACTAAACATTTCCCAGGATGGCAATGTAAACCAATCAGAGAACTAATGAGCACAGAAACATTTGTATGTAATGAAAGAGATGAGGACAAAGCTAGTCAAAAAAGGAAGCAGAAGGAAAAGACAAGCTTTCTAGCAGCAGCCTTACTTGGGAAGGATAGGAGGCAAAAAAGCAAAAGAAATCAGAAAAGCAGAGATCATAGCAGAGACCAATTAAGACCAGAGAACTGTTGCAGTCATTGCAAGCAATCACAACACTGGAGAGGAAAATGTCCAGTTACCCTGAGAAGGGGACCAAGACCACAGTTTAGGGAAGCCCAAAAGGGCAGGGAACAAGATGAAGAAGTTGTGTACAGTTTCCAGGTCCCCAGCCTCCAGTAGAGGAAACAAATACAGGAATACACCTTCCAGGAAGATCCTGGGAACAAATATTAAACATTTGAAATAAGGTTTATACACAGTTCAATTGAAAACTAACTCCACCCTAACCGATT